GGTTTCTCTGAATCATATTTTACAAGCATGTACCAAACCTTTTACGGTGTTACTTGATTAGTGTTTTCATTCACTACAAATATGTGTTACCTCGGCTAGCTTTAATTATTCTTATGTAATTGGTTTTAATTTATTGACTGGTTATTAATTTTATTAATTTTATGCTATCACTCACTGGTGTCTTATCTTAGTATTTAGTTACTAACAGTATTAGCAACATTCGTAATATTTCATAAATGTATGTATATATTTCAGTCTTCTTTAGATCTATGTTCACAGATTTATTTGTCGTATTTGTATTTTGTTTTAATTATTTTGTACCTTATATACTCGTGCTAACTTTGTAATTGGCCGCTGGGCTGTTAAGTTATTGCACGTAAATAATCATGAATTGAATTGAATTGAATTGAATTATTATTATTATTATTATTATTATTATTATTATTATTATTATTATTATTGTTGTTGTTGTTGTTGTTGTTGATATTATTAGCAGCTGTATTAATTTTTATGGTTGATTTAATGTCTCTGTCAGTATCTAGACTATGTACCACATGAAATGGTAGGATTATAAGTGAAAGGGTTATGCCATAGCTCAGACGAATAGTTGCCGGCTTCCCACTGTAGTGGCCCAGGTTCGAACCTGGGTCAGGTCATTTGGAATTTGTGATGGACAAAGTGGCACTGGGGTAGGTTTTCTGAGTACTTTGGTTTCCCCTGCCAATTCACATTCCACCATTACTCCACAGTCATCATCATCTATCACCTGGGACTGGTACAATAGGCCAATCAGTGGCTGTAGCACCAAGTGGACTCAGTCTCAACCCATGAGAAAAATTATTAGTGAATGATCATTTGGAAGTGATTTGGGATGAAGCACTTGTGACTTAATCAAGGTACTATCCTTCAGTTCGTTTGGAGAAAACGTGGAAAACCATGAAAATCCCTTTTCAGAATAGATAGTGCCCCAGAAGAGGATCGAACCAGGCACTGGTATGCCATCCCATTTGGTGCAGAAGTTATGTTGAATGTAATTGATTGATGACTGCATCCTTCAAGTGTTAAATTATTAACATGAGTGGAATCTATAGTCTGTTGGAAACAGTTATTTGTTCATATATTGTATTTAGCTCTTAGTGACACGAAGAAAGATAGATAGGAATCCTACTTTTCATTGTTTCTGTACTATTACCATTGTTGCTTGTTCTTGGCCAGTAATAATCTTTAATTTATCTAGGTTCTTACACCATCAAAACTGTACCTGGAATATGGATATCTCCAGCAGAAGCCATTTTATCGCCAGACTTGGTTCATGGTAGCATTGGCATCTACATCAGTAATCATAATAATTATGATTATTGCTGTCCTTTGCGTTAAAAGCAAGAGTTATAAATATAAACGTGAGTTACTGTTATTCTTCCTACATTTAAGAATTGAATACCATGCAAATCAAGATCATGAAGAGTTCTATCTTCTGGGATATAACACTGTGCAGTCTGTTGAAAGTCTACAAATGTTTTGAGGGAACATATTCCCTACATTTTCAGGTTCAAATAATAAACAGGCCCTGCTTGTCAACTGCTCTCACACTGGTATCTTGCACAGCTTATTCTTTGAACCTGAAGATGGAGATGTTATGTTACTCTGAAACGATAAATGATACAAACTCCGTCCCAAGTGCAAACAATATGTATTATATGTCTTTCATCTTGCTCTCTTCTACACTACATGTTTCGGCCTCTAACGGCCATCATCAGGTGTATACTCTTACGTTGCTGCCACACTGAACCTAGTCTAAAATTTAACATTTAAAAAACACATTATTATTTTCTTCATTATTATCAACATCTACCTTGTTGATATCTGTCTGGTATGTAGATTATTTTGCACATGTCAATTTTGATTTTCCTGTAGTAGCACTATAAAATCTTTAGTTATAATTTTAAAATCCTTTAAAATTTTCTCTAAATTTTAAATTTAAAATTTAAAATTGTTAGGGTTACTCGCCCTATGTCTAAAGTGCTGCAGCGGCTAGTTCTTGTTTCCAAACTGTACAGGTGTTATTCTGTGTAGTCTTCCTGTGTGTGTGCCGCTGCTTGTCTTTACTACGTGTGCAAAGTAATCTACATACCAGACAGATATCAACGAGGTAGACGTTGATAATAATGAAGAAAATAACAATGTGTTTTTTAAATGTTAAATTTTAGACTGGGTTCAGTGTGGCAGCAACGTAAGAGTATACACCTGATGATGGCCGTTAGAGGCCGAAACATGTAGTGTAGAAGAGAGCAAGATCAAAGACATATAATATATATTGTTTGCACTTGGGATGGAGTTTGTATCATTTATCATGTAGAGTGCAACAGGATGCTTAAATATAATATTACTCTGAAACATTGGTTGACTTTCAACAAACTGCATGACGTTATATCCCAAAAGATAGTGCTCTTCTAAACCACCGTTGTGAGAAGGTCAAACCCTACAAATGAAGACCATATATTAACTCTTAATAGTTCATCTAGCAGTATTTAGAAATTCAGTTCAAATTTTACAGAGAACATACCATTTAATTTTCAGAGACAACCCTGATGACACTGTTTAATGAAATAATCTCTGTTTATTCTAAGAATTTTCATCATTATCCTTCCCAGTATGAAGCCTCTTGATGCTTGTATATATTATATTCTGTTTAAAAACTTTCAGAGTATATGTCACACCTTGAGCAGGCAACCTTGCGGAAGAAAAGTCATTGTGTTCTTCAAGATCTCTAGTAGAGCTGTTTTGGTTCCTGCCATATGTTTAGACTAGAATTTAGTGACATTTATATAATGCTAAATGACATTCAGCTGTTGGTCAGGAGATGGTTGTGCTGTGTACTGACTGGTCAAAAAGCTGACACATCATATCAGTTAGTTATCTTACAGCTTGTAAAGTTTGATTTTTCCCTTGAAAATGGTGAGCAATACAAAATTTTCAAGCTCACGCTGAAATTCAGCACATTCAGTTTTCTAGAACTCCATATTTTTCCTTAACCCTTTGTCTGCTAAACTCTGTCACCAAAGTACCCACTAGTGGGTGTGCTAGTGCTTAAGTGTAAATTCCATTATGTAGAAAACCCCCACAGACTTTCGAACAGCAAGATGTAGATCATGTGATAGTCTGTTCTTTATTCTAAACATCAGTATATCTTACAATTAATATGTTGTTGGACATTATCCATCATCATGTCTATCCTTAAAGAACCTTCCTGTTTCTTTTAAAAACACAACGTTTCAGGGACTGGATTCTGTCCCCGTGTTCAGGGAAAACTTACTCAATTGGGTCCAATAGACAGAGCTAGCCCCTATCTCCGCTCAACTATGCCAGTTTCAGAAGGGGGTCATATTCCAAGCACAACATAAAACATATGTGAGAAGAAATAATGAAGCGATCACATGTGAGGCATTGCACCAGAAAAGTATCTTGAATGAAATCATGTCCGGAGAGAAGCAATACTCTTTGTGGTACCAGCAGAGACATGGGGGCTGATTCCTTATATTTCCTGTATGTGTTGTTGGGTTTGATCTGCAAAACCTTCACTTCATTCCAACGAATTTTGTGGTCTTCCTTGTATGCATGTTGAGCTAATTTAGATTTTTCCAGCAAACCCTGTGTCATGTTATATTTGTGCTCCTTAATGTGTACTTCTAGGGGTCTGCTAGTTTCACCGATGTAATATCTGCCGCAGTTGCAAGGGATGCTATACACACACTGCTTCGTTTTGTGGGCATCTCTAATGGGTCCAGTTTTCATTAATGTCCCCTGGAGCGTATGTTTCGTTTTGAAGATTGTTCTGAGCTGAAAACAGTTCCTGATGCATCTGAATTTCTCGGCGATACCCTTGACATACGGAATGACTCCTTGCTATGCATTAGCTGAATTCATCCATAAGATCCTCAGCCCTCTGTCTGGAAACACAGGTTCCTTCATAAAGAACTCTGAACATTTTATAAAATCAATACAGGATATCAACCTGCAAAAAGAAGACTGCCTTCTAAGTTTTGACATTGTTAGTTTGTTCACCAATGTACCAGTGGAAGAGTTCTTACAAATCATAAGAAATAGACTCGGAACAGATCCTTCCTTCACAGAGCGCTCACCTTTACAAGTAGAAGACGTGATGGAACTACTGGACATCTGCTTAAAAACCACATCCTTCCAGTGTGAAGATATGTTCTACCAGCAAAAGGAAGGTATGGCAATTGGAAACTCATTATCTCCGGTGGTCAGTAATATTTTCATCCAGCATTTTGAAGAAATAGCATTGGACACAGCTGAATCCAAACCCACTAAATGGCTAAGATATGTCAAAGACACATTTGTGATATGGCCACATGGACTGAAAAAGCTACAGGAATTTCTTCAACGTATTAACAACATCAGGCCTACCATCAAATTCACTATGGAATTTGAAGTTAATAATACACTTCTATTCTTGGATGCTTTGGTTATGAAACGGGTTCCAAAACTGACCACCAAAGTACTGAAAGCCTGCTCATACTGGTCGTTTACTTCTCTTCAAGTCCCACCACCCACATCGCGTAAAAAGGGGAGTTGTTCATAGTTTGATCAACAGAGTGAAGGTCATATGTCAAAACCAGAAGGATTTTAGCAATGAAATCAGAAACATAAGACATGACCTGATGCTCAGTGAATATCCTAAAGAATTTGTGGACTCTGTAATGAAGCCATCGACAAGAAATCGTCCCTCTTCAGACAGAACATACCAGGGCACTGTAGTCATTCTGTATGTCAAGGGTCTCACCAAGAAATTCAGATGCATCGGGAACCGTTTTCAGCTCAGAACAATCTTCAAAACGAAACATACACCCCGGGGGACATTGATGAAAACTGGACCCATTAGAGATGCCCAGAAAACGAAGCAGTGTGTGTATAGCACCCCTTGCGACTGAGGCAGATGTTACATTGGTGAAACTAACAGACCCCTAGAACTATGCATTAAGGAGCACAAATGTAACATGACACAGGGTTTGCTGGAAAAATCTAAATTAGCCCAACATGCATACGAGGAAGACTGCAAAATTTGTTGGAATGAAGCGAAGGTCTTGCAGATCGAACCCAACACTACATACAGGAAATACAAGGAATCAGCCAACATGTCTCTGCTGGACCATCCGATCAGTCAACCCAGTGTGGATATCTCTCCCATCTGGACCCCTGTCATCACAGCAGAAGTCAAGAGAATGCAGCGCCGTCAAGTGTAGTTGGAGTGGGTAACAATTTGTTTCATGTGTTGGTACCACAAGGAATATTGCTTCTCTCCAGGCATGATTTCATTCAAGATACTTTTCTGGTGCAAGGCCTCGTATGTGATAGCTTCATTATTTCTTATCTCTCACAGATGTTTTATGTGTTGCTTGGATTATGACCCCCTTCTGAAACTGGCATAGTTGTGCAGAGATAGGGGCTAGCTCTGTCTATTGGACCCAACTGACTAAGTTTTACCTGAAGAAGGGGACAGGATCCAGTCCCCAAAACGTGTTTTTAAAAGAAACAGGACGGTTTTTAAGAATAGACAAGACGATGGATAATGTCCAACAACATATTAATTGTAACAATTTACCATCTCACAAACTTTTAGATCTTATCAGTATATCTTGCTTGATGTCATTTGTTGCAGTTTCATTGCAAGTACCCCAAGCAATTATAATCTTCTCATGGTGTTTAAGAAGCTAAAGGGGAGAAAAATTGTTGATATTGGTGTGTAATGTTGTTGTGTAGTATGTGTGACTCTTGACAGGGGTTTTGGATTGGATATAGGATTTATTGACCACTTTTGACACATGACCCGTAACTACACTTAATTATAGTGCTGGCTCTAATTTGCACACTTTACAAATCACATACTAAGTCTTTTCCAGCCCGTAGTGTTTTCACTAGTAGTTGCCTGGTAACAGCTTCTAACAATGGCTATTACTCTGCTTCCGGGTTCAGATCCTCTCTGAATGGTGGCTCCCTTCCAACTGCCTCTTTTGTTCACAGGCTCCCATACAGAACTGACTCAGTTGCCCCAGCTGTCTTCTTTATAACCTCTTTTTAGACAGACCAAGTAGAAAACACCGTTTAATTTGTTTGCCTAGCCATTGCCTAGAAACGAATGTTGTTTTAGATCCATTCACTAGCAACAGCTGTTTCTCTGGCTCCATAATTCTTGCTTTGAGCAAATATTATATTATTATCACTGCATAATAGAGAGAATCATTACAGTAATTTATTTACTGTGAAATTTGTAATGCCATTCATTTATTTGCATGTTTTATGGGCATCTGTTTATCAACACATGCATTTGTATTATTTTTATTGGATGTCTAAACTGAAGGCACAGGATGTACCTAACTTGAACATTTAATGTGTTTGTTTGTATCACAGAAGAGGCCCAGAAGACATTAGAGGAATCAATGGCAATGGATCTTGATGACAGACAGGAATTGGCGATCGAATTGTACCGTTCCCATCGTGCAGGAGCCCCAGTTATGAGTGCAGGGGGCTGTGGAACACTGGGAAAGCGAAGCACTCTGGGACGCAAGTCTTTGAGTCATCACCAGCCCCCAGGTCCTCCTATGCTTGGCAAATCTCCCCCACGCCCCTCACCAGCTTCTGTCACATACCACAGTGATGAGGAGAGTCTGAAAGGTTATGACGAGAATCCTGATGATAGCAGTGTCACCGAGAAGCCATCAGAGATCAGCTCGACAGACTCTCAAGTAAGTACACTATATAGATAGGTGACAGGTGTGTTAGATTACCACACCATAGTGTATTTCTTTTTACTCTTTTTTTTTTCACAAAAAATAATTCGTAGCTGATAGGCATGAGGGTAGAAGAGGATGCGAATGGGTTGAATCTTGGAAATTTTTCATTTGTAGAAATGGCATTTTTTGGAAAAATATATTTCTGGTATATGAAATAATGATATCTCAGTTGTGCAATATAAAATTATATTTTTTATATTATATTGGCTTTTATTAATTTTATATTTATGCAATTTATTTCCAAGTCATTGAGTTGAAATTTCAAATTAATTTTAACATCTGAAACATCTTATTTTTTACTTTTCTCTTTTAATTTCCCTTATGTTTCAGCAGATGGTGTTGTATATAGTCTTGTTCCTTGTTTTTCAGGGCTCAGAAAGTGAAAATGAAAGTGAGCGTTCAGATCCTCATTCGTTTGTAAATCATTATGCCAATGTGAATGATTCATTACGGCAATCATGGAAACGCCAGAAGCCCGTACGCAATTATTCAAGTTACACAGATTCTGAGCCAGAGGGCAGTGCTGTGATGAGCCTCAACGGAGGACAGATCATCATGAATAATATGGCAAGATCACGCGCCCCTCTGCCGGGCTTCTCATCGTTTGTATGATGGTGCTGTGATCACCAGTTTCACCAATTCAATGATCTCTGTTTGGCTATAATAATTTAAGACTGAGATGGCAAGTAGTGACATTGAATGCGAGAGTTGATATAAGTGTGATAAAGAATGTGTAGCTGTCTCGAGTTACATCCTCTATTGAATTCTGCTTCAGAGGTGACTGGACAATTCTGCATTATTCTTCTGTAGTCACTGAAACTAAGTAGTATATACTTAGAACAAAGTGAGTGGGGGTCAAAATATGAGCCAAAGTAGATATACGCCATATTTATGTTCTACTGTTGCTCGCCAGTCTGTGATACTTAGTAGATAAAGTGTGCTCTCAAGATATCCATACTGTTTTAAGGACCAGGATAGCTACAGCCTGTATAGTGACCAGGCTATGGGTTGGATGGCCAGGGAACTGAGCTTCATTTCCTGGCAGAAGCAGAGAGTCTTCTCTTTGTCACCATGACCATATTAGTTCTTGGGCTCACCTAGCCACCTATCCAATATGTACCAGGGGCTGTTTCCCTGGGGGTAAAGGGGCCAGGCCATGAGGCAGACCACTCACCTCCATCTAGTGCCAATGTGAAGAATGCATGGAACCATACCTCCTCATCCCCATGTCCTCATGGACTGGTGCTTAATCGTGCACAGGAGTAACTTTTATGATTTTTGTGCAGTGTGTCTCTGTTACTGTAGATAGAATTCCATTGCAGGTTAAGCGCTACATAATTGGGGTGTAGGGTGAAAGTGGTCTCTCACTTTACTTCATGTACTAGCCGAGTTAAATATTAAGAATTGTGTCCTCTGAATGCCAGACTATCACTGGAGACTTCTCAGTGTTCTGTTAACAACAGACGACTTACACTATATAGTTATTTTACATACCAGGAACATTGCACAAAAAATGTTCATTGTGTGGAGATAATGTTGAATGTGAGCTAGAACATTATTTTAAACTGACTGTATATAGCAAGATGTTTGAAAGCTGGTGGTGAATATGTCTGAAGTGTATGTCACTGTGAAGAGGACTTCAGACAGACTATTTTATAGACTGTTTTTTCAATTTCAAAGCCACAAAGACTTGACAGTGTATATATCATTCCATATTTCAGACTATTATTTAAGTAGAATAAGTAAGGGAGAGATAAAAAGGAAGCCTGATCAAATTCTAATTTAGAATAATTCATAATTTTAAATGACAGTGCACAAAAGAGACTGCATTAACTACTTTTGCAAGTGAAGTAAACTTTACTCGAATTTATGTTGCAACGAATGTTGCATATTTGAACGTTTGAATTGATACTGATATCTTTTTTTGTTGTACTGAGTTTGTCTTCATAGGTAACCAAATAGCATCACAGAGTAAACAGGTAACTTTCCATTCCTAATGTTGCTCAGAAGTCTCGAGAGACTTTATAATTATTATTATTATGATGGTCATACTTTGTTTAAAACATCTCAGAGGGTATGTTGTACCTTGATTAGGCAATCTTACAGAAGAAAAGCCCTGTTTATTCAAGAAGACCTCTGATGTGGTGATTTATGTTCCTGTTGTATACTGAAAATAAAATCTTGTAACTTTCTAATCATATAACAATCTTTGTCAGTATCTGATGATGATGTAACCTCAGAGATGTTTTACACACAGTTTGCCTTAGATACATGCGGAATTTGTACCCTTGCATAAGCACACACATAGCAACTGAACTCCATATTGGTCCAGCCACAGCAGCAACCTTTCTTATGGGTATCTGAGGTTTTCATGGTAGTGAGTGTTTATATTATCATCCTGTGGGATGTGACACCGTGTAGTCCTATAGTTGTATACCAAGTTTCAGAAAAGCTTATGCCCCCATCTTCACAGTACTATGAGATCTTGGATTTGTATGAAGCAGAATTTACAAATTTACAGAATTACAAAATATAGGTTGTCAAGTATTATATTAACTGCCAGGTATGTGAAGTACCATTTAAATGCCCCAGCTAGCCATTCTGGAAGAATAATTTTAATGGGGTATACATGTTCTTTTGTCAGCTAAAATTTGAGTCCTGGCAGGATTAAGAATTTTCTCTTCTCCACATTGTCCAAACTGACTGGGGCCCACCAGGGCTCCTATCCCAGGGGTAAAGCAGCTGGTGTGTGAAGCTGACCACTCACCTCCAGCTACTGCCAAGGTCAAGAATATGTGGATCAATACAGTCGCTTCCTCATGCACTTCATGGCATAGTGCTTAATTAGTTAAGCACAGGGACAATTTAACTTTTTTACCATAAGAAAATTTAATGCAGATTGATGTAAGAATGCTTCATAAAGGAGCCACGAAGAAACGGTTGCAACCATATGATATCTCATGAGCTAAATTAGTAACTGTTTCAAGTAGTTCAGGAGAATGGCTTGGGCCATGCTTAGTGCAAGGCAAATTCTTGTGAAATTGGCTGAAGCCATGTTCGGCAATTGAGTGTATTTAATTTTGCTTCAGCTGTATACTCATGTTTATGTAAATGTATATATTCTGCAGTGTATCACCATTTACTGTAACAAGCAGCGAGACATTCTATGGAATGGTTTTATATTGTGTAATTTGTACTTTTTTAAAACCACTGCCATTTAAAGTAATCATTATTTATACTTTAAAGTATTATAAACATTGTGCAATGCAGTTACAGTAATTATTTTCTAAAATTAAAAGAATAAAAGGAATTGCTGATGTATGTTAATGTTTGTTTCAACATCCCCAGTAATATTATATTTACCCATTGTGTGGTTTACCAGTTGTATTCTGCCTTTCCCTAGATAGTGTGATCATTCAAGTTTGATGTGCAAGAAATTTTTTTCATTCAAGTTGTGAAAGCTTTCCATGACTGGGGAAGTTCGATGTTCTCATGGCAGGGAATGTGAAGATTGTGTTCTTCCTGAGTGTGAGCCATGTAAATTGGTAGAGAAATATGTGAATTTTGGAGGAATGTGCTCTCTCTCTCTCTCTCTCCCATCAGGAGTGGTCCTGAAGCTGAAAACAGCACACTCCTTAGAAATATTTGTGTCTACCATACTACATTGCATCATATCCCAGAAAATAATTTCAATCACGCAACTTACCTGGGTTCAGCTGCCATTGTATTAGGGTGTAAAGATGCCAAGCAACATCATTATGCTTGCAGAAGACACATGAGCAGCTTCAGATTGGCAAGATTCTTGATCTGCTGTAAAGTTTGCAAGCAGGATTTGTGACGAGGTGTTCACAAGGAAAGATGGTTGTATGTATGATTTGAGTCTCACTGTGGTAACTTCCGGGATGTAACACCATGTAGTCTGGTAAACTGTTAACCATTTTGCAGGAATATTGGTAGCAGGCAACCACACTACAGTGTAACAACCCTGAAGACTGCAATCTTCATACATGGCATTCAGTAAATTGGAGGTTTCAGTGAGTAAGACTGCGAACAGTACTATCTTATCAGATACAATACTGTGTAGTCATTGAAAGTCAACCAGTGTTTTGGAGGAACATATCACCTCCATCTTACACAAGCTCAGCTTGCCACCTGCTTTCGTGCTAGTACCTTACTCAGTTTGACCATGAAGATGGAGGTGATATATTCCTCCAAAACGTCAATTGACTTCTAACAAACTACATGGTGTTATATCCAAGAAAGTAGTTTTCTTCATAACCATTGCTGTGAGAACCTCAGATCCTTCTGGATTGTGACACAATGTAGCCTTGTAGACAGAGGGCCATTGCTGTTCATTTTTCACACTTTTCTGTTTGGGGGGGGGACATTTCATATCTCTGGTGTTTTGATTTCCCACCTGTGATGATTCAAGCTCAACATCTTTGGGAATGAGTGTGTTACCTCTACACCATCCTGTTCAGTTCTTCCATAATATGAACACTGCCGTGGGCCTTGATATGATAAAACTGAGTAATAATCACTTAAAATGAAAAATAAGTGGAAACTTGGAGCTTTGTTGGCTGTACAAAATAATTTCATTCTGATTTTATATTACATATTTTACCAAATTAATTTTGGTGTGGCCATGATCAATCACAGTTGACTGCGCAATCTGAGGTTCAAACACCGGGATTGTGGGTTCAAATCCCACTTGAGACATGGGTGTCTGTGTGTTTATTTTGTCCTATGTAGGTATCCTTCTGACAGGCAGATGCCCTGTTCAAGGGGTCCTACCAACTGTATATAAGATTAATAATTTCAGAATTAATTCTGAATGGGAACAGGCCAAAGGGCCTATCTGTGAAGAGATGATGGTCTGGCCATGTTGAAGGAATGTATGGAACATGGACAGTCAGAAGGACATTAGAATTACAATTTAAAGAAAAGAGACCTGTGGGATGATCCATAAAAAGATGTTTTAGTCTGGTACTGGAAAACATCAAGGAGAAGGAGCTTGCAAGAAACTGAAACAGTAAAGAATTTAGCTGCAGAATGAAGATCCTCATCCATTGTTCCACATTTTTCCCTCACTTTAGTCTTGTCCCTGACAGTGCCTGTTGTTGAAACTGAAGGTTTCTTGCTACTTTCAGAATGCCAGACCATTACTGCATTTACCAAAACTATTCAATGCTGAATTTCGGATCTTTCAATCCTATGTTCCCACCTATACATAATTTCCTAAATGGTCTCTTTCTTTCAATTTTTCTTGCAAAATATGTGTATATGTCATATTTTCTCCAGTTATATTTCTTGTCCATCTTAATGGTATTCCATGAAAAGTACAACGTACCAAGCTCCTGATGATGTTAATTATCCTCTTCTGTAATGTCTAGTAAATAACATACTACTATTAACCCTTCTTGCAAGATGAGCAATTTCCTTAGACAATTTTCCTGTGTCTCATTTTTGGTCTGTAAGCTCTGAACAAACTAATGACAATACATGATGACGAACTGAATTTGAATATGTGAGGCTCAAGGAATACACTAGGGAGAATATCTGGGCTTAAAAGATAGGATGTAACAGGATGCTTGACAAATGCATGACTCGCTGCCTAATTTGTACTCTCATCATAATTATAAAATGATAAACTTGAGATGGATGAGATGGGCAGGGCACAAAAAGTTGTGGGAAAAACTGAGGACAATTTTATGAAGACTTAGACCTTTGAAGAAACAGGATGGGAGTGTGTGGACTGGATTCATCTGGCTCAGGACAGGATCTTGTGAATATGGAGATGAACCTTCAGGTTCCACTGAACACTGGTAATTTTTGGCATAGGTAAGAAAATATTAGTTTCTCAAGGACTCAGCTCAGTGGAATTAGGATAATGGTAAATTTATGTTCTTGCTCACACCCAGTAATGTATTAATCTCTCACATAAATAGAAATGGGAAAAAGGCTTTTTTTTTCCACTCAGCTTTCACAACAGTTTGATGGTGATATATTGGGTTTTACACCATCATCAGAATCCTATAGTAACTAGTTTGGTGGTGGCAATGTTGATTCTGTCTTGTGTGATGAAATAAAGATGGTTATGTAGCCAATGTTTCAAATAAACCTGCTACCTCCACCTTCAGGATCACTCCTGGAGCTGAGCCCTTCTTGAGAAGCCACCAATTGTGCAGCTACTCAAGAACTTAAAAAGAATTTTATGGAACCTGAAGGTAATTACCGTGTTCTCAAGAGCCCCCCACTGGTCAATATCCTGAGCCAGTTCAATCCAATCCATCTTATCTCTATTTTAATACTGTCCATCCACCTATGCCTTGGTCTACCCAGTGGCCTCTTTTCCATCTGGCTTACCCACCAATATCCTATATGCATTACTCTTCTCCCCATTCTGTTATGCGCCCTGCCCATCGCGTCCTCCTTGACTTTTATCACTCTAATTATACTTGGAAAAAGAGTACAAGTTATGAAGCTCCTCATTATGCAGTTTTCTCAAACCTCCCATCACTTAACCTCTCTTTGGTCCAAATATTCACCTCGGCACTCTGTTCCCAAACACCCTCAGTCTATGTTCCTTCCTTATTACTAGAGACCAAATTTCATGCTCATACAAAACTACAGCCAAAATTATAATTTTGTATATTCTAATTTTTATGTTTTTAGAGAGCGGACGAGATAGCTTAAGGATAGAAGAGTAAATTGCATAAAAAAGAAGTTGATATACAGGGAAAGAAGAAAGATGCACCCTGCTTGGCTAACCCTTCCACTCCAAAATGGTGATGATAAGAAGGGTAAACTGCATAAAAAAGAAGATATACAGGGAAAGAAGAAAGATGCACCCTTCTTGGCTAACCCTTCCACTCCAAAATGGTGATGTGGGCCATTTTGAGCCCATCATTCCAAAACTGGAGCAACATCATCATGCAGTAGAATTAAAGACAAATATATTTACTACAGGAAAGGGTATGAAACAATGAAATAATTTTACAACAACTGTATTTTTTTCTTTGCTTTTCTGCTGGTAATATCCCATTTTTTTACAGTATTGTACAATGTAGAGTGGAAGACGTCTACACATCATATGTAATGCTTTCCTTTGGCTGTTGTCACACCACCTGTCACGAGGTTACAGATCTGGATGAGGAGAAAATTACAAACCTTCATTAATTTTCTAGTATCAGTCTTCATAAATATACAGGTCTAAATAAATACATGGCAATGCCAGAGAACAGTAATTTTCAAACATTTTGCCTTTGAAAATCCTTACCAATTCCAAGCAACTGTGAGCAGTCATGCAGCCACTTGTTCATGTTGCTGCTCAGGTCTCGCTGTGGTTGTATGTCTATCTGTCTGAGAACTGACCACACTGCTACATCTGCAACTGAAATACTTTCCCCTCCGGCCATAAATTGGGACTTTCCTAAGTAACTATTCAGGGTACGAATTAATGATTGCTGTTCCTTAACTGTCCTACATCGTGCCAGGCTGTAGCAAGCGTCCAACACGCCATCCAATCTAGCTGATGTTGCAGGATCGTTATCTAGTTCGTAGTTAAATTTTGGTGGGCCAAGACGGCTTAAATATCGAAGAATGTTTACCTCACCTTTCATGGTGATATGTTTCATGGGAGATACCACTAGCTGTGTGTCAGCTCCAACTGTAAGCAAGAGAGTGCACTATAAACATGAAGACTGAAGTCTTCTGAAATACAGTGCTGTGAACTGTGGTAGAAAGGTACTGACATTATGAAAAAAACCTTTGTACCAGACTACATGGTGTCATGTTCCACAAGACAGTAATTTTCATATTCACTGTCATGGAAATCTCAAATATCACATCTGTAAATAATATATTAAAAAAAGGAATTAAGAATTGTATATAACTAAATCATGTAAAAGAACCTGAACCCTATACAATCATAATATTTAATTACCATCCTTCCAGACTAGAGTTATATTTAATAGTGATGATCTCTCTTGATCAGAATTAGATACCAAACACAAGAATTTGTCGAGGTTTTTTGGTAACTCTAGTATGCTCGAATGAATATGGCAACGAACTCCCAGCTTCAGCCCATCACTCCATAATCTTCGTAGAGCTGCAATTGAATATGGTGGATACCTTGGGCTGGCATTTATTACAATATCATGAATCACTCCATTCTGAAAACAGAAATCACATATGGAAATACTGTAACACACACATATATAAAACACCTATTTGTTCTACAGAAGTGAGAACATACCTGTAAGATATTGCATGTTTTATTGGTTGAAATATCAGCTTCTTCTCTGACAGTACATATATGTGGCTGCTTTAACTGTGCTCTAAGAACTGTAATTTGATTTTTCAAATCAGCTAATTGTGCCAGGATTGCTTCTTGTCGATTTTCCAGTGCAGCCATCTCAGGTAATGGGCACTAAAATAAATTAAACCTAGTTTATATCAATAATATTAAGAAGCAATAGTTTAAATATGTAACTTTAATACCCATCTCTCAAATTAACTGAAATGTTATAAAAATATTAAATTTACAAAGGAAGTCAACAGCATGCACATGGCTTTTAAGAATAAAATTCACAGTTTTTCTCTTTAGCAGGTTAGAAGTCAGTATTTGTATGACATATTTTAGTATATATTCAGAACTCAAAAAATTTACTGTCAGACTTTACCTCAACTGGTGATTTGACAACAGAGGTTCAATGTAACACAAATATCTATGAAACACAAATATCAATGACCTTATTATAAAATATTGGGCGGACATATTTGATCTTGATTAGTTGGCTGTTAACTTGGCATGGAAGAGCCAAAGAAATTACACGAACATGAATTTGGAATCTGTAAGTAATTTCTACGTATACAGTACTAATTGCATGAAATTATGCCAGGCTAGCATAAGACATTACATTTAGGCTTACTGTGCACTTTAAAATAAAATTTGGTTAAACGCAGCACTAAACAAAACCGGGAAAGCATGAAGAAACTCGTGCTGAATAACCGATATTTAGTAGAGAAAAAAAAAATTCACACTCCGAGACGTCAATTGTACGAAAATGTTAACACAATTCTAAAACTGGAATAAAACATAACAATATAAAGTTATTTAAAGTCAATAAACCTTCAAAAGCTTCTTAACCTGTTCCGAAATACTTGATGGCTCGATTTCATGAGATAACTGGCGGTCCACACGATTGTTCACATACGCTTGCTGAATGTTTTTCATTCTGTACATACATTTAGGAAGCACAAGTTCTTCTCTTAATTTTATAATAGGTCGCATTCGATACATGGTATTCGGGCCGTTCATTTTTTTTTCACTTTTCTCCCTTCGATTTTCTGTCAAAATAACTTATTTCCACTTTCCTGATGAACTGCCACGCGGTCGTTCATCAAATTCTTTAAATTTTCTTCTTTACTCTGCCATCTTGAATAACCATTGATAGTATAGTTCTTAGATATAAAATTGTTGCTCATACAAACGAAAAAAATCCATTCAGTGTTATCTTCAGTCTACACCGCGTACGTAATAAACAGTAAACATTGATGAATTTGAGTCACATGAATGTCCTTGAGCATAAATTTATAATTGTCCAAAATCCTCTTTAACCATGTCATGAATGGTGCGTGAAAATATGTTTGGTACTGCTTAAAGGAAATGCTACTGATGTCAGTATTCTACATATGTAAACATCTATGAGGGAAGATCAATTGTGCCCTCTGTAGCTATGTGCAAGGAAATTTTCATTACACGGTTTGGGATTGGCTGGCTGGAAAATGTTGGCGTATTACAAGCGTACTTTTAATGTGTAAATCTACGCATGAAAATGTAATTAATGCAGATCTGTAACATGAGATGAATAAAATACAAGTTTCCAATTACATGTTTATTAATCGTGTGTACGAATAACTGGTTCTGGCAACGAAACAAAATACGGAGTTGTCATGGCGGCGTTACGTTGCACCAATCACGAAACGGATTTTAAAGGACGTTGAATATTCTCTTTTCACCATACATTTCGCGTCAGTGAAATAATTTGTGTTTGTTGTACCCTTCTGGATGATTTATTAGCTTAATGATGTTAGGAAGTGTAGCGTAAGTAGGTGTACGTAATGCTAACAATGTTTCTTGCAGGAGCATATACAAAGATACAATTTGTATGCGTGATCACGTGACTCCGCGGAAAAATGGCGCAAAGCGCAGAGTGCAGACATGGGCTCCATTTCTGTGATGTTGTGTCATTTGTATTTGTATACAATAGTGTGTTTTCATAAACCACGTGTTAAATAGGCTTCAGTGATTGACGTAACATAAGCCAAAATGTCAGCAAGAGGTGCAAAGAGGCGGGGGAGGCCACCCAAATCAGTGGTTATGGAAAGACCACGGAAGTTTCAATATCATCTAATGAAGAAGCCAAAATATCTGCTAAATCGCGAAAACATAGGATCAGAGACCCCAAACTCTCAAACAAGCACCCCAACAGCATCAAGAGCGTCCTCTCCGGTTGGAAGTGAAAGTAGTCGTAGAAGTATAAGAAGTAGAGGGAGATATAAACATAGAAGAGGAGGAGGTGGATATCAAAGACGGGGTTATAATCCAGATGTAGTCGAAGATAAAGATTCAGAATATCATTATGGATCTGATTTCGGTGACGAATCAAGTGGGAAGAGCGATTTGGAAGATGATATTCTTAGAAGTGATAGTGAACTGGAAGAAAGTCTTGAGGGTGGTGGGTCAAGTGACAGTGACTTTTCGCTCTCAAGTTATAGTACAGTGAGTGGAACCCCAAAAAAGTTTACATTACATAGACCTCCAAGCCCAGAACCATTGTGGCTTCAGAATCGTGAAATACCATATTTAGAATTACCAAAATCATCAGATGACCTTTTGATTCCAAAGGACCTCATTATGCAAGCATTGTGTATTTATGAAGTTTTACGACACTTCAGAACATTAGTTCGTTTGTCACCATTTAGGTTTGAAGAATTTTGTGCAGCTATGATGTGTGAAGATCAAAGCATCCTTCTGGCAGAAATTCATATAATGCTTTTGAAGGCATTACTCCGGGAAGAAGATTCCCAGCAGACTCACTTTGGACCTTTGGATCAGAAAGATAGTGTAAATGTTGTGATGTACTTTGTAGATGCCATGACGTGGCCAGAAGTTTTGCGATCATATGTGGAAAGTGACAAAGAATTTGACTCTGCCACTTTGAACATCTTGAACACCTGTGAATATCCATTCACTACAGTAGAGAATAGATTGAAAGTTCTACAGTTTTTAACTGATCAGTTTTTGATTACAAATCCTGTTCGAGAAGACTTACTCAATGAAGGTATTATGTCTCATATTTTCATATGTATTAATTTGTATGTAGTTTGTAGGAATTTTGTTACTGTTAGTGACATACTCATTACTGTTTACATTGTCATTTTGTAAGAATGGAGCAAAGTTCACAAATTTTAGACCTTTATCTATTCGCAGCCATAAAAATGTATCCCATTTTATTATATTGGTGTGATTCTCACAGGCACAGCTGAGGGAACATCAGATGTCACATAATTTTTAGCTGTCTGTGATTTTAGGCTCTACGTGTGTGACTGACGTTATTCAGTTTCTGTATTTGAACTTAGAACCATTGTTCTTGGATGGTTATTTAGCAGCAGGCATCTTGCTTCTTCATCTCCAGTTCAATTCTGGATGACATGACGGAGATTTGAGTTGGACAGAGTGGTATTGGAGCTGGCTTCACCTTGATTTTCTTCAGCTTTTGCCCAGATAATCATTATTCCACAATTGCTCCAATAGTAATATATCCCTGTCTGCCAAGGTATGCAGTAGTTAGTTATTGGAGAGGGTGGGTTTCCCCATGCACTTAGACCTGTATTGGTCCATTAAGGTATGAAGTAACCCCAACTGGGCAGCACATTGTCACATCCTTTATTGGTTAAGGTGGGGGCTTGAACCGTGACCCAGTATTTTGATGACTACAGAGCACGATACTTAGTTTTATGCTTTTAGACTCTTTTTCTGATTATACTTTTTCATAATTGCAATGGTCTCGGTGGGAAATATGCAGTTTGAAAACCAGAGCACCAAGTTGTTGGTAGAACATTGTGAAATATTTTTAGACAAGATGGTATTAGTAATTTCTAATGGTTGTTTTATTAGGAAACATTCACTATGATGATCATTGTCGGATATGTCACCGTTTGGGTGATTTGCTGTGCTGTGAGACCTGTCCAGCAGTGTTCCATCTTGCATGTGTTGAGCCTCCAATGGATGGTGTGCCTGAAGAAGACTGGCAGTGTGGCGTGTGTCAGGCTCATAAGGTGGGCTGTTCAGTTTGGATTCTTCCTATTCACTTATAATTTAGGCATGTGAAGAAATTGAATTTTGAAGTTGCTGTAGCAGCAGATTATGCTAGACTGGTCGTGGCAGTTCGCAGGTGGCACATGTAGCTAATGTGTATAACAATGTAACTGCTGCAGACATAGTAGACAGTATCCACAGAAATTATGAAATTTACTTTGCACTTTTACTAGTATGCATGGTAGCCATGGTTATTAATGTGATGTACAAGTATTGCACTAGAGTTTTCAGGTAGGATTATGATTTTCATTCCCAATATTTTTTCTGAGTGAACAAATTTTTTTTCTGATGTATGTACAGGGCTACTATAAATGATTCATTCGTTTCTAAAACGCTATATTTTCCAAAGCATAATACATACAGATATGATTGATATATAAAAAGAACCGTAAACTCACCAAGTTTTCTTCACACTCTACAAATGTTCTATGTGTGCCCCTTGGGTCACATGACACACGTCCAGTCGAGCTGATTCCACACATTTTGTAGCATCATCCTGTCAATAGTCATCACTGCAGCATGGATGTGTTCCCTCAGCTCTACTAGTGTTCTTGGCAGTGGGGGTATGTAAACACGATCCTTAATGTACTCCCAAAGGAAGAAGTCACAAGGCGTTAGATCAGGTGATCTGGGGGGCCAAGTGAACAGAGCTACGTCATCCTCACCAACGCCCAATCCAGCGATGCCGAAGTTCATTGTTTGGGTAGCGACGAACATTGCCGATAACACTGCAAAATGCTTTGTTTACATGGCGGTTCTTTTCCGTACTCTCTTTTGAATGCACATTGCACTGCTATAACAGACGAACATCTCGCATATTCCAACAAACAAAAACTCTTTTCTTGCTTTGTCGCCATTTTGTAAAGGCACTGAACTCGTGCTGTCAACTGGTGCACACAATACAAACTTGGCGAGTTTACGGTTCTTTTTATATATCAATCATATTTGTATGTATAATACTTTGGAAAATATAGCGTTTTAAAAATGAATGAATCATATATAGTAGCCCTGTATTATGGATCAGGCATGCTGTAGTGTAGTTGGTTGAGGCACAGTGCTACAGGCCGGAAGGTCACGGGTTCGATTTCTCATGAGGCCATTGGATTTTTCAATTGACCTAATCCTTCCAGCCGCACGATGGCCCTGGGGTTATCTCTGCCTCTAACAGAAAATAAGTACCAGGAATCTTCCTGGGGGTAAAGGATGGGCAGTGCATAAGGCTGGCAACCTTATCACCATATGTGAGAAGATTGTCTAGAAAATATGGGAGCCTTAACATCTCACAAACCTGTGGACTTTCACGGCCTGTTATGGCAGTATGTATCAGGCGGTCCCTCTTAACCCTTTCACTGCTAGTATGTTAAGTAACTCTGAGTACCCTCTGTGCTGAATTATTTTTCAATATATCTTTTATAAATAATTTAAGTGCAAAGTAATGAAAATTTGTGATAAAATGTAACTAATCTTACCTCAGACAGGGAACAGGCAGCAAAAGTTTGCAAAAATGTTGAATTATTCAGTATTTTTCACAGGGGAAAAGTCCATTTAAACCAGGGTTGTCCAAAATGGCCAATAAAGTACATAATTCACTATCCTAGTCTTATCATTACGTCACATGTTGACCAAAGTCCACAACTTTATTTAATACTATTATAGAAAGCACCGCGCACTATACGAAGCCATTTTTAGTAGCCCTGTGAAGTACCCGTGTTACATAACCACTGAGCGTGTGCCTCGCTGTGCAAATACAATTTTTTACATTTCTTAAGCTAGAGGGCAGAAGAATGCAGCCATTGAAATGAATGATGCTTCATTATGTTCCCAATAGATGACTTGTGCACCGGCCAAGTTTGAATGAGATTGGTATAAAGAAACCTGAGATTTGAAACTCAAAAGTCACAGTACGGGTTTTGTCGATCGCAGCAAGGATGCCATGTTTTTCAGAGATCAACATATGTCAGCCACAGCAGTGTAAGGGTTAATGAGTGTAGTACCGTGTATGATACTCTTCAGAAAGACTTGGTTTGAATGACATGTGTTTTGGCACATGCTGGCCACAGATGAGTCTGTTTGTTAAGAAGGGTTGATCTGGGGGGAAGAGGTGCTGTGATCGACACTATTGTAGAGCTGTATGTAGCTTGTGGGCCTCAAATTGTAGGTTAGAGAAAATAATTTCCCTCTTGATGAGATGGTGTTCTTTAGTATGGATACCAGTTTGTAGATGGTATGTAAAAAAAGGTAACAGATAGAGCTATCCATGTAACAGGCCATGGAGACCATAGCATTGTGAGATGTTGAGGGTTACACATTATCTAGACAGTCGGCTCACAGATGGCGGTAAGGTTGTCAGCCTTACACGCTGGCCTCCCTTTACCCCCCCCACCCCAGGAAGATTCCTGGTGCTCATTTCTGCTACAGGCTGAGTTGACCCCAGGGCCATAGTATGGCTAGAAGGATTAGGTATGTTGAAAAATCCAGTGACCTCATCAGGACTCAAACCCGTGACCTTCTGGCTGGTAGCTTAGTGTGTCAACCAACTACACTGTCATGTCCCCCCTTGTAGATGGTACGTGCAGGCATACATGAAATTTAATCCATACTGTAGTTAGCAAGGAACACAGTGTTTAGAGTGGCAGTTCTGTTTTAACCTGCTCAGTCTTTTGGAGCATGTATATCCAGCAGATACCTCTGTCATGTCTCTCAGTATCCACGTGTGTCACAAATATATGTATTTTACTTTCCAGCCAGGAATGAATCTACTGCCAAAATGAGCTTCATGTTTACATTGGTCTTTCATGCAACCGTATTTGGGGTTTTCACAGCAGTGAGTATGGAGAATTCTGTCTTCCTGGAATTAAACATATGTAGTGCATTGAAAGTCAACTGTAGTTTCGCAAGAACATGTTGCCTCCACCTTCATGGTTGGAGAATACACCAGGCAAGAAACCACCACTGCTTCACACTAGTTTCTTGTTTGGCTTATTCTTCAACCCTGAAGATGGAGGAAACATGTTCCTCCAAAACATCAGTTGACATCCACCATACTATATGGCCTAATGTTCCAGAGGATAGAACTTTTCATGGCTCTGTGTGTTTATATTTTGCATTATTTTGCACTGTCTTAACTCTGGAAGACTGATTGTAGGTCCATAAACGTTTCACAGATGCCACTTACAAAGCAATTTGTCATGGATTACTGTCCATTGGGACAATGGTTCTCCTGGAACAAATGCATCCCATCACATTTTCATTGTTTCCTGCAACAGTACAGTTATATATCACTAGAATCCAATTTCTGGATGTGCATAAGGCATAAAAATTTCATTATTGTCGTGATAGGTTTGTTTTTAAAATGAGGCTTGAAAGGGTTAAAGTTTCACCTAATCTATATTGTGTTACTGAACAGATGAACAGACATATCGCTAGTGATGAGGGAGCCAGGACAGCTCACTCAGTATAGCGATTGGCTATAGGCTGGACGACCGAGGGGTCAGATTTTAAGTCCCAGTAGTGTCAAGAATTTTCCCTACTTCATGTTGTCCAGACCAGCTCTGGGGCCCACCCAACCTCCTGTCCAATGGACATCAGGGGCTCTTTCCCTGAGCATAAAGCAGCTGGAGCGTGAAGCTCACCACTCACCCCCAGCTAGTGCCGAGGTCAAGAAAATGTGTATCTATACATCCACTTCCCCATATGCCTTCATGGCGTAGTGCTTTATTAGTTACGCACAGGGACAACTTATCTTCCTTTTTATCACTAGTGATGATCAGGTACTTAATGCTTGTATCGGAATAAGGTCCCACATTAGCTGGTAAAGAACTAATAAAAACAATATACTGTGCATGTTTTTTCTTTGATTGTAATGTACTGAATAATATACTAGGGTAACTTGTTTTACTGTAATAAAATATTTATTTTGCCAGAAGAAGGTATCAGAATTGTGACATACTGGGAAAGGAGAGCCGTTACTCCATACTTCTTTTCAGTGAATACATGTTCGTTCCAATATTTATAACTGACAACACAGAGATGTTTCAGACAAACTCAGAGCTTTATGAAAGCTCAATCCAAGACATGAATTTTATCTTCACAAACAAATTTCTGACCTTGCAGTTTATCAGAAAGAAGTTATGCGTAGATGCACACTTATCCATGAATGGAAGATAGTTGAAAGAAGCATTTGCATTTTCTCTGCTGATTATTTATTAGATCACTCTCATCAGGACTGGAAGAAACACATGTATTTCTGAATATTTGTCAGAGAATGGTGAAGTCAGTACATTTTTGTTGCTGTCAGTACCTCTCCTCAGAAATATTTAAAAGCTTTCCATCATATTGGGTCCGGATATCCTATGTGAGTTAAAGTACCATAGTGTTTGCTATCCTGGGATGACCTGGGTATAGTGATCAGACAGTTGAAAGAATTTCCTTTGACTTACACTTCATAGTCTGTTGATGAGTTTTTCTTAGTAGGATATTGTGAGCAGACTGTAATTAAGAGTTTAAGTATGAATTATTGTGTAGTTTATGTGTATTTACATTAATCAGTGAGCTATATAAAATTGGCATTGTCTAGATGTGCTGCACTTAGAATTTTTTTTTATAGTGCGAGATTTATGGAAGTATAAAATTTGTTTCAAGGGTTTCTCTATGTTAAGTGGCTGTGTGTATGTGGACAATGTGTAAATGGACAGTTACTTATTTAAGTATAGAATTTCTTTCTAGAATTTTGTATGGTGTGTGGATCTCAGTATATGTGGACAATGTGTACATGTACAATTACTTATTTATTGTTTCTACAGTATTGAAGTCTAGTTTAGTGTAGAGTGTGAGTTTGTTTTTTAGGATGTGTACTGTTAGGTTTATGATCTTTGAGATACTTCTGTTTTCTGAATCTGTTGACTTGTTCTGCATCCTGAACAGCAGGAACCATGGAATGAATCAATCTCTCATACTAGGC